TCGAATTGGGTATTCTTCTAAGTCTTGAGCAGTGAGAAGAGTAGCGTCTTTGTGAAGGAACCGAGTGAAATGGCTTGTGAGGCTGAAACTTCCGGTTAGCCATTTTCCGGCGGGGACAAAGAGCTGAGCTCCACCGTCGGATGAGTATTGGCTGAGATGATCTACGGCGCTCTGGAAAGCCTTTGTGTTCAGTGTTTTGTCGTCTCTGACGCCACCGAAGTCTGTTATTGAGGCGCTGTGGGATCTGCAAGTGATGGCTGTGTACTCAACAGATCTGAAGCTTGGAGGCGAGAGAGAGAGGCGAGAGAGAGAGGCGAGAGAGAGAGAGGCGGCTCTTTTTTTTTTAGCCTTTTTTTTTTAATAAAAAGAGTATTTATATGTCAAGTCCTTTTTCTGGTTAGGTTAAAACTCTTTGGTTTAATTTTAGTTTGGTTAAAATTTTAGGTTAGGTAGACTTCCAAAGAAGTCTACTATAATATTTTTCTTTATTGTTTAAATAGTTTATAATATATAATCTAAAATTTTTATTTTCATTATATATTTAGTAGAGTTAGTATATATTTTTTGTTGATAAAATTTTAATTCACATTTTAATTCATAAATAAATAAATTTAATTTTAATTTTTCTTTTTGTAATCACCAATTATAGTAGACTAAAAGAGACGAAGTAGAGTTTACCGTAAGTATTGGCGCCAATAGGGAAAAATAGGCTCCAAAATTCATTTTCGCTTCCCGCTTAATTAATTTTAATTTTAAAATATATTTTTTTGATAAACACCAATTAATGTAGACTGAAATAGACGTCTACATATAAGTAGACTTTAGTGTAAGTCTACTATACCCTAAATATTGGCGCCAATATGAAAAAATAGGCTCCAAAATTCATTTTCATTTCCCGCTTAGTTAATTTTAATTTTAAAATAATTTATTTTGGTAAACACAAATTAACGTACACTGAAATAGACATCTACATATCAGTAGACTTAACTGTAAGTCTACTAAACCCTAAACCAGAAATCTCAAACCCTAAACCCCAAATCTCAAACCCTAAACATATGATTGATTATAAAACAAATCTTAGTCATTGTACCAAATATCATATATACAAAATATAAACTACTCAACATTAAATATGCAATTTTGAATCATTAAAACAAAATAATTCTAAATCTAGAATCTAACCCTTATTATCTAACTCTAAAAGACATAACATGTTAGAACCTTTGGTTGCTAAACCATTAACATTGTGTACCACATAGTTCCCAAATCAATATACATTCTTTAAAATTGTTCAATTATAAGAAAATTTAATTTATCTACCTCATACTAACCTTTAAATTGATGATTTATTAAAAAAATTACCAAAAACATTTTTTCTACATTTTTAAAATTAAANTCTAAAAGACATAACATGTTAGAACCTTTGGTTGCTAAACCATTAACATTGTGTACCACATAGTTCCCAAATCAATATACATTCTTTAAAATTGTTCAATTATAAGAAAATTTAATTTATCTACCTCATACTAACCTTTAAATTGATGATTTATTAAAAAAATTACCAAAAACATTTTTTCTACATTTTTAAAATTAAATTATTTGATTAAATTAAGATGTAGACTAAATAATAAGTCTACATTAGTTTACACAGTAGACGTTAATGTAAGTCTACCTAGTTGTAGACTTCTTTGTTAAAGTGTAGACCTACGAAGGACAGAATCGTAAAATAACTGTCTGTTTTTTTGTTTGGTCACAAGGGTTAAGTAGTAACTTCATAACCCCTTTAGGTTGGTTTTGCATTTGACTCAATAAGGGGTACACCTTTAGGGTTGAAATGAAATTTTAGGTTGGTTTTGGCAAATCCCCCTACAAATAATCTTGATATTAGAAAAAGAAATAGTTTTTCTTTAAAAAATAATTTAAACAATAAAATATATATTTTCCAATTAAATAGTTTTTGTATATATTTTATTAGATGATTACATAAAATAATCAAGTAACATAAACTGATACATGTTTAATTGATAAAAAAATATAATTAGTATATTTATTTGATTATAATATCTTACAGTTACAGCAAAAAATATAAATTATATTTTACTTATATAATATAATTTTTAAAAAATAATCACATTTTTACTGCATATTTTAAGAGATATTAAAAAGAAAACTAAAAATAAATTGAATAATAAACATCTTTTGATCAAATAAATACAATTCTTTTAAAATATCATAACCCTATATAATTTATTATTTGAGAAGTCATTTTCTTATGTGTCGCGCTCACGTTAACTCTCACGCTGGTTGATTACAATGATACCCCTAATGAATTAAAAATATATTTAAATATTATTATTTTCTTTTTAAAATCTTCCAAATAACAATATAAAACAAAAAGGAAATATTTATAAAATTTATAAAACTATTTAAAACGAAAATAAGTATATATATAATATATTTTCATAAAAAAGGAAAGTTTACAAAATAGTAATATTTAACTTAAATATATTTTTAAATAACATAAATTATACTTTTTTAAGTTAGTATACTTTATATCTATATCTTCTTAGATGAAAAAATATATTTGTATATAATGTTTTTTCATAAAAAAAAGTTCATACAAATAATCTTGATATTAGAAAAAGAAATAGTTTTTCTTTAAAAAATAATTTAACCAATAAAATATATATTTTCCAATTAATTAGTTTTTGTATATATCTATCTGTTTTATTAGATGATTACATAAAATAATCAAGTAACATAAACTGATACATGTTTAATTGATAAAAAAAATATAATTAGTATATTTATTTGATTATAATATCTTACAGTTACAGCAAAAAATATAAATTATATTTTACTTATATAATATAATTTTTTAAAAACAATCACATTTTTACTGCATATTTTAAGAGATATTAAAAAGAAAACTAACAATAAATTGAATAATAAACATCTTTTGATCAAATAAATACAATTCTTTTAAAATATCATAACACTATATAATTTAACGAGGTAGATATATTATATTTTAATAGTTAAAATTATCTGTTTTCTTAATAACTCTTTTGATGTTTAATTTTCTGTTTTTATGTTTGTGGAATTTAATATAACCGTAATTAAAATACTTAAGCAAATCAGAATTCCTTATTTTAAAAATTATTTAAAATAAATTTCATTTTACTATCCAATCAATCTAAGGCATAAATTATTTAAAATTTATAAAATATTTAATTATTGTAAATATTGATATGTGTTCATAAGCTTCCAAAATTTATTATTACTTATGTATGTAATTTAGAATCAGCCATTTTAGTTTTTATTTTTTCGTTCTAAGCACAAAAAATATTAAAATACATAATCTTACTAAGATATACTTATATTTCTAAGATAACAACCAACATAAATGTAAATAAAACAATTAATCAAAAATTTAAGGTATTTAGAGTAAAAAATATTATAGTTGAATTCAGAGAAATAGATAGAATCCAATATATATATATATATATATCCAAATGATACAAGTGACTAAATATAATATATCTAAAATTATATGTAACTAAAATAATATAAATTATACATAAAAACTAGAAATTAATATAAAAATTAAAGTAAATATTAATCAACTATTATAATATATTTATTTTATAAATATTCATGCCCGTGCATGAGCACGAGAAAATCACCTAGTATGATTTATATTATTTGTAACATTCTAGAAAGGGTCCAAATTTAAATGACAACTTGTATTAGTAGATAAAAAGAATGACTCTATTTTAATAGAGTAGATACAATATAAAATTATATAGTTTTCTTATATGAGTTTCTATGTAAAATGGAAACTAATAAATAAAATTCTATGTGTGTAGTGAAAATTATTAATTGTACTAAATTACTTTTTTCTTTTATTTATTAGAAGTCTTATTAATAAGAAGTTCTCTTATATAAACTGGATTAATAATCTGTGAAATACCAAAAGGGATTACTTAGGTCATCCATGAAAATTCGATTTTGTTATTTCTTTTTCACAACATAATGTAAAACAATTTTAGTTGATATAATTTGTAAAAAATGAATACATATCATTCTTTTTTTATAAATCTTATAATTTTTAGCGGGATTTTTGCAAATTTGACTCAAAACTCAAAGTCAAACACAAAACTAACCTTTCTTGTTTTTTGATTTTTCGTTTGTTTTATTCACCCCATCTGTTCACATTATTTACGAAAATGCCATTACACTTTTTTCTTTTCTTTTTTTTGAAAATTATTTTTTTACTCTCTCAACCTCATCATCTTCAAGTATTTACAAGATT